TGGCGATGTCGCCCCCAAAACGGACAAAGAGTTGGCTGTGGTGAGTCCCTTCGCTGGCCTCTAAGAGCTAAGTTTAGACAAACTTCGAAAGTAGAAGATGGGCGCCTCCCTCCGACCCCGCAGTGGGCACACAGCGTGGGGGAGGGGTTTGGGTAAACAGCTTGGGTGGGGGGGTTGCTTGGACGAGAGGATGGAGGGCGGTCTTTTGGAGATGATGGGGGAGCTTTGGTAAGTGAGAAGGTCGCCACTTTGATAAACAACTTTGCAACCTCCAGGGCTCATTATGGAGGACCGAGGAACTAGGTGGAGAGGTATGGGGGGTTCTTTGGCAATTGGCTGGAAAGGGCTTTTCTTTTTTGGGTAAATAATGGGGACATTGTCTAGTCTCTGGCAGATTGGATAAGAGGGACGGGCTTTGTAAACAACTTTTGCACACATCTGGGGAGTTGGCAGTGGGGCCTTTGGCAAGCTCCTTGATATAGGCCTTTGGCAAACAGATAAGGGGGGTCTCTTTTGCCAATGGGGGGGGGTCTTTGAGAAGAGGTTACTTTGGCACACAATTTGGGTAAACTTGCACACGTGAGGATGGGAGGGAGAGCTGGCTTGGCAACATTTTGGAAACTTTTGGCACACATCTGGAGGAGGACTTTAGAGGGTTCCATTTGGCAAATTTCTGGATCAGGAGGGAAGCAGAGAGCGCATCTCTTTCCCCTGGCTTAATGGACAAGTTGGCCAGAAGGGTCATGGGTTGGGCCTCGGAAAGTTTCCTCGAACTTCTGCAAGGGAAACTTCTCCAAGGGGTCGGAGAACAGAAGGAGTGAACTGGCCCAGCGGCCTGGCGGAGGAAGGGGCAGGCCCTGGAAGGCCCCCGGCGCGTGGGGCGGGGGCGGACTGAGCCCCGCTAGGGTCGGAGAGCGGCCAGCGTGTCCTCCCTCCTGGCGGGGCTCCCAAGCTGCGGCTCAGATGTTGTTTTGTGAGCGCGCGCCTTCCTGGCTCTTGGGGCACCCTGGCCGCAGCGTTGCATAAGCGGGGCTGGGAGGCAGCTGAAAGGTATTACCCCTCACTCTGTAAGCCCCTAAGGCCGGACCGCCAGGCGTTCCTTCCAGCTCACTGGATAGCTGTGCCTTATTGCTTCACCCTGTAAATCCCGTTGCCTCCATCCAGCCTTCTCCCCAGCCCGCACGGGACAGGACTCCAGTGTCCTCTGCTCACTGTGGAAACTCCTTCAGGACAGACTTAACCCTCTCCCCTACCCTTTTCTCTTCTTCTTTTCTTTTTTATACCCTGTTCTCTTTTTTCTTCTCTCGTTTTCTCTTTTCTTTCTTTCCTTTTTTTTTTTTCTTAGAGATTTTTTCTATAGGGCATGTGCACTGCCGGAGAGACCAGAGAGAC